GTCTTTTTTGTTGGAGCGAACTTGAACTCTCATAACAGCGAGCCGGGACGATTGCTCGCTGAGGCGTGAGCATTAATGTGGAAGCTTGTCCTCTCGCTGGTTTGCTCTGCTCTTTGAGTGTACGGCCGATCGTGGCCTGTTTGTTTCATTTTGATTTGTTTCTTGTTTTGCTCCGAATTGTAATTTATAGTTTTTTTTGTTATTTGTCTTGAGCTCATTTCTGCGTATTTTGTAATATCATTTATTTTTCTTTTGTTTAGGCTTAAGTTTGGTTGAGTTACAAAACGAGACTGAAATTAATACATTGTTTTGTTTCTTATTTTTATTTTGTTTGTGAACTGAAAACTTCTTTTTGGCGCTGGCTTTTGCCAGTTAATCAATGTTTATTGTTTGAGACTTTTCTTTTCTTCTTCTTCATAAACAGCGTGACAAAGAAAGTTTATATAGAGGAGGGGTTTAGCCGCTGTTTAACGGGGTTCACATTGAGTGCTGTGCATTGAGTGACCTGACTTCACCAGAGTGGGTGTGTGTAGATCTTAAGTGTGTGGTGTGAATTGAGGGTCACAGCAGGCCATCTCCGTCCAATTAAACTTTCTTGTGTATTTGTTTTTTTGTATTTATTTCTTTATTTTGAAGTTTTGTAAAGTATTGTTTTTTTTTTTTCTTTCTTTTTGACCTGTGAATATTGAGCCTTTAATGTTAATCTATTTTGATGATTTTAACTTTTGTATTTGAATAAAGCTGCTTCATATTTGGTACTCCCTGGCCTATGTCTCTCTGCTCACGCAGTTCTTTTGGTTACGAACCTGTGTGCCCCCTGTCTTGGGGCTGAGTTCCCGGTGTATACCGGGTGGCGTAGTCAACAATTATATAATTGTTTCATACATTTCCCTCCAGTACCTGATGCCACTGGCCACATTTATATATATTATATATACTGGGAATGGTGTCTAGCCAGCTTCAACATTGTATTGTGAGTATTGTATGAGAACACCACTGACATTTCTTGAGAAATTGCAAAGCCGTAGCCTTTAAAGAGTAAATCTATAAAAATTATCTGTGAATCAGTAAAAAAAAAGACTATATGAATTAAAACCTCCTGCACCCCCTCCATCTGAAACAAGCCCCCTCCAGACTCAGAAGCAGGCTTGAATGCTTGAGTGCAGTCTAATTACCCAGTAGAATAATTGTATCTCAACAACTCAGCTTTGTTCTCCTACCGCTCCTCTGGAAAGAAATTAGCCAGGACTGCCTGACATCGAGACACCAACCTCTGGCCAGTTCGGGACTGCTGTCTCTTCAGGGCATGTGGATGTGTTTGAGGTGTTGTTCACATCCCCCTCTAAGCTGACTTATTAGTCTGCATCTGGTGACGTTCCCACCAGAGCGGAGAGGGCAATCAGAGGACCGGCTGCATCCCAGAAATGCATCTGTGGATGAATTGCTTGCGAACACATGATGATATAATAGCCTACACCACAGCCCTTTTTCTTTTCCCATCAGTCAGTAAATCAAATAAGAAACCAAAAGATGAGATGTACAGTACATGTCTGTGAGGTTTTACTGTTGTGGACTTAATTGGATGAGATATATGAAAGCCTGCGAGAGATGTGGGGAGGACAGGCATTTGAGGAACAGTAGCTGGTGTCTAGAGGAAGACACGACGCTTTCCCTGCCATCTGTGCCCCAAACAATCATTCCTGTGAGATTTCAGAGCCAGACAAACATGATTCAGAGCTGCTACAGAAAATTATTCCAATGAAAGGAGGAAAAGGAGGACAAAAGTCATTTTAAGGCAAGTCATTTCGTTCTTAGGTTAAAGGCATACAATAAGAAGTTTTGCTGAAATATTATAAACATTTGAAAAATGCCGACCCCTTGACTGCGTGTCAAGGTCAATTAGTTTATAAAAATATCATAACTTTGAGTGACAGGGTATGGTTAGGTTGTGAAATGTCATGTGAAATGTCAATGTCAATAACATTCATGAATGAATCAGTTATATAATACATTAAAAATACATTTTACCTAAATTTTTTTGCAAAAATGCATAAAATATTTATATATTATACAAAACATACACTACCATTTAACAGTTTGGGGTTTTTAAGATTTTTAATGTTTTGAAAAGACGGTAACACTTTATTTTAAGGTGCTTGTAATAAGCAGTAATTAACAGTTAATAAGACACTTATAAGACCTTATAAGACACTTATAAGACCTTATAAGATGCATATAAGATGCATATAAGCATTAACATATAAGGGTTAATTAAAGGTCCAGGCCCTGAAGAGATCAGGGAAACTACTCCCTCTTGGGAAGGTCAATTTTTAAGGGCCTGGGAGTTTGTGTTACCATTTATGTTTGTTCGGCTGTTCTAAAAGTGCAATGTATTGATACTTGAGAAATGTATTATTTAATTTAATTTATTTATTATCATTAGTTAATGATAACATGCATCTTATATGCATCTTATAAGGTCTAAGTGTCTTATTAACTTTTAATTACTGCTTATTACAAGCACCTTAAATTAAAGTGTTACCGAAAAGACGTCTTTTACACACACACATAAACTGCATTTATGTGATCACATTGTTTTTATTTAAAATACCTGTTTACTATTTTAATATATTATAAAATCTAAAAAATCTCTCTATAAAATTTCCTGCGATGGAAAGTTGCATTTTCAGCATCATAACTCTTCAGTGTCACATGATCCCAGAAATCAATCTAATATGCTGATTTGCTGCTCAAGAAACTTATTATTATCATCAATGTTGAAAACAGTTGTGCTGCTGAATATTTTTCCGATTTTTTTCCCCCTAGGAATTTTTTGATTAATAATAATAAAATAAAAACATAATTACAAAAAAAAAAACTAACATTAGAAATGTTTTTACAGTCACTTTTGATAAATTGAATACATACTTGCTACTGTCAATAAAAGTATTGATTTCATGTACAAACAAACACAAACAAACAAACATACTGAAACCAAACTCTTGAAAGATAGTGTACATACAACTATTTTATTAATAGTTTTCATAGTTTTTATTCAAATTCATATCTAGATTCGGATTCAGATAAAAAAAGGTGACTGTTTTTTTTTAACTGAAAGGGGTGAATTCTATTCCATTCCTTGAGCGTCATGATTACTTCCAATATTTTTTCTGTGAGTGGTCCATATCCTCTGCCGTATACTACGTCTGCTCACAGTCTGCTGAATAAATACTGGTTTATCAACACTCTCTGAAGGAAAAAAGGCAAAGTCTTCATAATAAGCATTGTGTACAGATTCATACAAATGCAATCATGAGTCATAGCGCTGAAATTGTTAGTCTCCCTTGAGCAGTGCTGGTGGATGATAAAAATGCTTGAATAACTGTGTGAAACGGACAAGGGCATATGCTTTTGATTTGTGACTCTGGAAGGACATCAGATCAACAAAAATCAATTTCTGAAACAATAAATCATAATAAACACAAATATTATCACCGAGCCATGGCAAAATACACATTTTTGCTCTCCAGTCAACACTGCTATCTAAAGATATACAGGAAATGGAGACAATTTATTGTGTTTAGTCATATGCTGCTGATCAGTTCCACAGGTAACTTGACGACTCTGGGCAAACCCATCTGTTCCAGCTGAAGTGTGTTTAGTTTTATTGAGAAAGATGAAATGCTTTCTCTTTTCCCTGCTTAATATGCAGGGCATATATATATATATATATATATTGTAAATTCTTAAATAAATTAATATTTTTATTCAGCAAGGACATGTTAAATTGATCAAAAGTGACAAAAATATTAAGCAGAACACACCACACAACTGCTTATAATAATAAGAACACTGATAATAATTATAAATGCTTATTTAGCAGTACATTAGAATGATTTCTGAAGGATCATGTGACACTGAAGACTAGAGTAATGGCTGTCGAAAAAATGTAAATATTAAAAAAACGTACAAAATTAAATTGTAATAATATTCACAATATTGCTACTTTTACTGTATTTTTGATCAAATAAATGTAGCATTGGTGAGCATAAGAGACCTTTAAACCCCAAACTTTTGATTGGTTAACTGGGACAATGGTCAATTGTGCAGTTTGGAATATTATAAAAGAATATGAGACTGCAGAATTATGCAATTAACCAATCAGAATACATCAATACAGTAATAAAATATCCTAATGAGGATACGTTTATTTTTTTCCCATTTGGATCAGATTACAAAGGGAAAAAAGAGCAGTCCAATCTTTTTCACTGTTACTGTAACATAAAAATGGAAAAAGAGGCTAAACTAAAGCATTAATGAGTATTTTGATACACTTAAAAATAATGGTTCCAAAATGGTTTTCACAGTGATGCCATTCAGCGAACAGTTCTTAAAAGAACCTTTTTTTTTTTTTATTGTGAAGAACATTTTAAAAATCTAAAGACCCCTTTTCCATTATAAAGAACGATTTGTGCAATGGAAATCCATTTGTTATATGGATGCCAATAAAAAATTGTATTTATAAGAGCGTAGAGACAAGGGCAGCTGTAAACTGCTCCACTGGCAACAGTGCCCAAATTATAAAACCAAATCTGAACCCAAATAAACTGGACTACACCTGACTTTTTCCACATGAACACTTTTCCTTTGATTCCCATCTGCCATAAAAACAAAACAACGGCAGCCCTGCGAGACCTCATTCTGCTGTATGTCATACGCCCAAGAACTGCCACATTTTTATCCTCAACAGAATTCCACCTAACCGCATACAAATCCGCCCCGAGATGTTTTCACAATGGCCGCATAATGCAAACGACTGCAAAACAGGAATCCAAATGCTGAACTGCTAGGCGGTTACTGCACAGCTTGAGGCAGAGACAAGCTGTCATATGTCAGAAATGTGGCAGGCTGGGTAACACAACGACAACAGGGAAACAACTGGAGAGTTATTAGACGAGAGCAGGGGAAGTTGGGACAGGGCCTGACTGCGGGGGACTGACCTTGGAACGAGGAGGGGCACGGATGTACCACTTGCAGTCCACTGCCTCTGTCTGCAAGGCTTTGCCGTCTTTGGTGATCTGCTGCGATTCAATGATGCCTTCAGGTCCTCCCATCTCAAACTCACAAACTGTAGTGGAGGAGACATAAGAAGACAGATTACGGAAAATGAAAAGCCATTAGATATATTCATATGTAGGGTGCTTATAAATGAATGAATAATACCCACAGGGAAGAGGCTTGGGGACTCCTAAGTCTTTAAAGTCAGGATCTGAAAAACAGAAGAAGCAAGAAAATAGGATATAAAATATATGACTGATAACCATAAATACTGTGCTGTGATATATCAACTTAACCATTTAATGTACAATCAATGTGTACGTTGAGATTGATCAATAAGATATGTGAACTGTTTAAGACCGAGACCAGTCTTGAATACAACAACACTAACTCACTCTTGCAAACTATTCTAACTCAATCTTTAAATAAAGATTGAAAGAGTTGTTGGAAGCTTAATCATGTTGATGTTCAAGACATGCATCTGTGGTATAGTTTGTTTATAGCCTAACTTATAGCTTTTACATGTGGTGACTGTATTTAGGCTTCAAAATTCAGTTTATTTGTAAATATGATCTTGATTAATAAAACGTGCAAGAATGTTAATTGGAAAATCCTATTGAGGTTTTCTCGAGAGAACCAGGGTGATGCTAGCTTTCGGGTTGGCCTGAAAAAAATCAGGCCAACCTGACCAAAAAGGTTCTCCCTGCTCCACTTAAAAAAGAAATACTTCAGTCTAAACAAATAATAATGGAAAGCCATAATCTAAATTGTATAGATCCAACTTTAAACGTTAAAGAACAATTTAGACTTTAACCTGCTGTGGAGCATCATTATGTAACCGTACATCCAGTGACATCTCCTCAGTTCCCAGTGGACTCAATTCTTCTCTTAGTTGAATTTCTTTGTTTTCAAATGCACTTTAATTTAAAAAAGTCTCTGGAGAACCACATTTATTGCAAATATCACACTCATTCTAACAATAGTGGTTAAGAGCAGAATGTCTAATGTAGAAGACATTATTGTATATCCAACAATATAGTCTCATATAGCCAAACTTAAAAAAAAGTGGTCTTCACTGCAACTTATTCTGATCAAGAACCACCCACTTAAACCATCCAATTGACATGTAAAGCAACCAATCACTGTTAGTTTTATTTTTAAGTGCATTTAAAGGTAGAATAGTTTTTATAATAATAGGCTGGAGCTATAAAAAAAATAATTCAAACGTGACAAAGTAACCTTCATGAACATTGTAGAAACAATGTAAAGACAAAGGGAAATGTTTAGATCCCAAAGTAATAAGTACTGATTATTTTACTGACATAACTCTGAAAGCAATGCAAAATATGCTAGGCCTGGGAAAACAGCTTTTCTGGTTAGATCTGATTCAATTTAGATTCAGATTCCAGTCGGATTCAAACCGTTTCAGACTGATACAAACCGATAACTCTACATTTAATTCATTAAAAAGGTTGCATTTTTTTGTGCAATACGAATCAGATGTTCTGTGGGTTGCTTTATGCCAAAATGAATAGCTACAATCTCATGCTTCAATACAGCCCTACTCTTTATCCTAACATAAATGAGCCTAGTCTATCAGAAGCGGCATTTTGCTATGCAGAACTAATAGGTGGGCAGTTTAATTACTCTCACCCCTCTGTGATTAGATCGGCTTATATTTAGTATGGGTGATATTTCGCTCTGTGATCCCACCGTTCACTCTGATATTCATACATGGACAGAGACGATGGCATTTACAGAAGCGAATCTCATTGAAGACGACTTCTCTTAGAAAAGACACACATGTATACATATACACATACAAACGCACAGAAAAGTCTGCACCCATTAAGAGAGGATTGGATTGTACCCAGTTATCTTTATATGAGAGACTGATTGATTTGTGGATTGATCTGGTGAAAATTGATTTATTTCTCTCATTCTCATTTCACCCTCCTGTGAGCACTTATGTGGGTCACTGTGTGTGATCGCAGAGGACACCCATCACTATTATGACATATTCACTCCTATTTTGGAACACGGACAATATGAGCAATATGAGACTGTAGGTTATGCAGAAAGCTACACTTTCGTTTTTATTACAAGTCCACTTATAATGTGAGTCAAGGTTTCTTACAGCAAAAACAGTTCTAATTTTGTTGCATTACCCCCTTGATCTCTGTTGTGATTGGCTAATCTTTGCGTGCCAGAGTTGCACACATTGTCTTTATAAATCTGAGGTCAAGGGGTCAAGATAGTTAGCATGAAAATTTATCATGAAGGTTCTGTGCAACCCATCTTTGTTTAACATTTCACACATGCTGCTCAACATCTACACTGAGGATTCAGATCAGGCCTTGAGGAGAAAAGAAATAATAAGAAAGATTATATTACAGAAATAAGATATTGTTAGAAAGAGCGAGTGTGTGTGAGAGAGAATCGCCATATCAAAAGAGATTCATTGGCAGAAATAAGATAAAATGGCAGATTAAAGAACAGAACAGTGTGGAAACTGAAACTGGGTTCTGCCACTTACATTCAAAACTTGACTTCTTGCTCTCAATCAGTGTACAGTATTTACATATTCACACAGTAGAATATTGTGTTATAATGCAAAATACACTGGGAGTCACTTCTATAACCGAAGTGACTGCCTTAAAAGGGTAGTTTTTTTATCACAGTGTGACCCTAATGTTGCATCTCTATACAGTACTTATTCAAAATAAAATGAACAGTTTGAAGCCACTGTTGGTTGATTCAGATTTGATGGATGGAAAAAAAAATATTTTGTCTAAAAGCAGAGGCTCTGTTCTTTCTTTTGATATATTGCATGTTTAGATATTCATAAAACCAAAAAAACGGGGGCCATGAAATTGTTTTGAAAATGGTCAAAAATGCTGCCGGTGACTGACAACATTTAAAAAACAAACAAAAAAAACGCTGGTGGGAAAAGAGTTAAATTATTATTATTTTTTAAATGCAAGCGAAGTTCTTAAGACTTAGAATTAGGCATATACTTGATAAAGTTGGCTTTAATACTACAGTATGCACTTTGAGTTTAAGTTAATAATTTGATACAATACACTTACTGTGAACATATACTGTATGTTTTTACATTATAATTATATTGTTTAAAAACCTGCATGTAATTACAGCTGTGATTAATATCTATTATTACATCCATAATTACACTGTTGACCCTTCCCTTTCCCGTAATCCACCCGTAAACCTAATCATAACACCAAACCTGTCCACTGTATCCCATCTCAATAGCAGCAAAAGTGTTCTGCAATACATGAACACAATATGCACATTGTACTAACAATTAAAAAATAAAATAAAATAATTGTAAGTACATAGAAGGTAAAGACACCTACAGTAATAACCACATATTTAATCTCCAGTAGTGATTACATTTTTTCATTAGACATAATGGATTTTTTTCCCCGTTTTGATTAACATTTGAAGAAATCTTGTTTTTGTCAAATTATGTATCACCTGCAATTTATGACGAGCTAGTTTGCGCTCCCACAAGCCTTAGTTAGACCATTCAAAATGAACAAGTTGGACTTATGCTACAGTAGAAGGCAAGTGTCTTCAAACTTACACTAGCCACTCTTTCTAAGCATTCCTAGACAAATCCTCTGAAACATTTTACCTGTAACAATACAGCGATCAGTTAGAACAACACTGCGGAAATAAACCATTTCCTTGTTTTGTTGTAGAAACTGACTGTTACTCTCCCGCTCACAGTTTAATCAAAGGTAGCTGCCACCCTTTATTTCGGTTTCCACAGTGGATCCTTTCTTTTAGCGAGGGAGGAAAAGAAAGGCTGCTTGAGTGTAGGGGTGTTATCTGATTGTACTCGCCTGTCATCCTCCTTATTCTTTATCTGATAATCTCGTGAAAGAGTAGCACCGACACTGTTTACCCACCCACAGCATAAGCGGCGTGAGCCGAAGGGAAAGCTGCTCTTCCCTGTGGATGGGCTGCTGTAAAGTTGAAAACACCCTTCTGTCCATTCAATTCCCTTTGCCAAAGATCTGACGCCTATTTGAGGGTAAACCTGGGGCAATGGGCTGTCAATCAACATGAGAGAGAATGTGGCTGCTTCCAAACAGCCAAGATTTATAAACACTGTATAGATCAGTTAGAATATTACCACTTCAAGAATCAATAAGGCATAAGCAATAAAGTAAATTGTGGGGGTAGATATGGATGGAAAATTCAGAGTGGCAGGAAGTTAATGAAACAATGACCTTCAGGTCAAGAGAGCTGGTTGCTGGACTGATTTACGATTTGGATGTGGCATCACTTTTTTTTTTTTTTTTTTTTTTTTTTTTTTTTTTTTCCCCTTGTGGCATCACTTAACCCACAAGGTCCAGCAGACCCCATGGGATCAGTCGTCTCGTCAGCCATGTCACGTGTAATATACAGGATCCCTCTAAAGGTTATCTAAAGGCATCTATCATCTGAGTGAAGGAAAATACACTCATATCTCTAAATGTGAGATAGGAGATATGAAATTACAATGAATATGTAAAAAGGATAGAGGCTTTCTTTTGTGTGGTAATTCAACGTTACCACTTCAACATCTGCATAGCAGGTAAGGTGCCTGATTGTATTTGTTATCTCAGATACAGCCTTTAAAAAATGAAAAGACTTGGGTAACAAAATCACAAAACAAAATCAGCGCCATTTATAGATTTATTATTAAATATTATTTCACAGCAAAGGTCTGAACAATCAATTCTCTCAAAATAACATATTGCCTGGCTATGAAAAAAACAAACAAACAAACAAACAGGAAAATAATTTTTTACATTTTCAGGTGTGTGTGTGTGTGTGTGTGGTTCAGGTATTCCGTTGTGTCCCCAAAGAAAGTAAGCTAACAGCAGAAAGCTTTGACCATGTGGGGACATTTTTTAAACCCTATAAGGAAAACAGCTTATAAATCATACAGAATGATGTTTTCTTGAAAATGTAAAAATGCAGAAAGTTTTCTGTAAGGGTTGTTTTTAGAGGTAGGGTTAGGGGATATAATATACAGTTTGTACAGTATAAAAATCATTATGTCTATGGAAAGTCCCCATATAACATGGAAACCCAACGTGTGTGTGTGCGCACACAAATTTAAATAATTCTGATTATAAATAATGAAAACATATAAAAAAGGGAAAAGTAACAATTATTTTATTTCCAAGCTGACAA